TGCCGTTGCGACGGTTTGGTATTCAGGCGTTCTTGGTCTCCTCGTCCAGGGCTTCTTTCTCCAGATTCTGGGCACGCATTAATGTTCTTATCTGTTTCTCTGCTGGCGGCACGCTCCCTCAGCAGTCCGGCACGTGACGCGGGCGTATCGCTTTCATCCCCCTCGTGGCGGACGCGTCTCTATTGCCGAGCTGGTGCGCGGCGCCCCTCCTCGGGTGTCCCCGCTAATGGTCTGTTGATTCACAATAAAGCCGCGCCGTCAGCAGCCGTTGTTGGCGAGGGCTGCGGGGACGGGCCTCCGCGCCCCTGTCGCTGGCCAGCGCCGCGGGCGGCGGGCGCTTACCGCGGCGGCTCGCCTCAACCCTCCGCCCCCGCCCCCGCCCCCGCCCCCGCCCCCGCCCCCGCCCCCGCCCCCGCCTCCGCCCAGCCCGTCCGTCCGTCCGTGCCCGCCCGCCCGCCCGCCCGCTCGTATGAAGTGTCACGTGGCAATGTCGACGTGCGACACCCACGGCCGCCATGGGATCCGTTCCGTAGTCTCTTCGCCGGCCGACCGGTCACGTTCGGCACACGGCGCCGGCGTCGGCGGTACTGTCGGAGTGTGGGCGGCGGTGTGTGCCGAGCGTGGCCGGCGCTGGCGGTACTGTCGGAGCGTGGGCGGCGGTGTGTGCCGAACGTGGCCGGCGCCGGCGGTACTGTCGGAGCGTGGGCGGCGTCGGCGGTACTGTCGGAGCGTCGGCCGGCGTTCGCCCGCTGATAGACATCCGCTTGAGATTTCGACTGTCGGCCGCTGCCGCTCGGGGTCAATTCAATCTCGGCACCCTCCTTTCCTTGCCTATCGTAGGTTTATACGCTTGCATGATCAGAATTTATCTTAGGGCCTGATATTGATGAGTACCACATACGAAATTACGAAGGACGACCGACAACATAGAGATTTCCGTGCATTTTCAATCGGCGCTCATTCAAGGCGTATCACCAACCAGAAACCCTGTCCCAGGGCACCAGAACACACCACATATATATGCATATATATATATATATATATATATATATATATATATATATATACTGCTATGTGTATCAAATATTTGTCGTCCACACTGCGTGCTGCGTGCACGCGCTGCCGGTTCTTATGAAAACAATCCTCCTAAGCACTCCTGGAGCCAGACTTTAACGATATCACGCCACTGCTCTAAAGTAATTGGTACTTGTATTCCGCGTGTTCTACTCAGCGGTGGCAGTCTTCATCAAAACAATAATGACCCATTATCTAGAGCGAAATCACATTGTGATGCATGTGTTGCAGAACAAAACAAATCTATCTTTCTGTCTTCGTTTTGCGAACAAGTTTCCTAACACCTCAAAGTTTGAAAAGTACCCAAAATTTTGCTCTCGTGGCCCTGTTGCAAAATGATCCAAGCAGCCGAAGGAATCCATAATACATATCAAAAGATGTGTCATTTGTGGTGTGGTTGTGTTCGCCACATCCCTCTGGCCCACCTGACTGTCAGCTGGTGCCGTCCGCACGCGGCCGTCGCCCCGCCGCTGACCGCTCCGTGCGGTCGGGCAGCGGGCGCCGGCGGCCGGCTCGGCCGACAGTGCGCCGCCCGGAAATGAGGCTCTGTTTTCCCGCTCAGACGCGGTCGGCCCGGTCGGCGGCCGTGTGTTTTGGCTGCGCTGGGCCGCTATTATTGCGCGCTCGGTCGACCGCAGGGCCGTCGCCAGGGCCGCCGAGCCGGCGGGCTGCAGCCGGCGCGGCGCGTGCCGGGGCGCGCGCTGCCTCGCCGGGCGCCCCGGGCTTCGCTCCGGCGTTCGGTGGCAGAGCGGTGCGCCGCTCGTCTGATGTGCCGCCGCCGCCGGCCAGCCTGGTCGTATTTACAAACACGCCTGATTGGCTGCCGGCCACGCCGAGCTACCTGGAGACAGGCGCCGACTGTTGACCGCCCCCGCGTCCCCGGGCCGGGCCGCGACTCTGTTGTCGTGCAGATTACGCTCTCGGGGGACGACATACGGAAGCGATACTGCATTCGCCAGCCCCCCCCCCCCCCCTCCTCTCCCCCGCTGCACTCCTTTCATTCTGCTCTCCTTATCCCTCTCATATGTGCTCTCTTTCCCCCTACTCTTCTCTCACCTCCCCGCTCCATTCTCCTCCCTTTGACCTCCTCACCCATCTGGACTCAACTCTCCCTCTCTCCCCTGCCCGCCTCTCCCTCTGCCTTTCTATTCCTCCCCTTCCCTGCTCTTTTTTTCCTCTCCTCCTTCTTCCCTCCTGTTTACTTGTCCACTCTTCTTTCTCATTCTGTCCCCACCCCTCAGCATTTCCCTCTTCACTTTACTCTTGTCTCCTCCACTATTTCCTGTCCCTTCTGCTGTCCTCTCTCTACTTCTCTCCGCTCTCCCCTCCTTTCGGCCACTTGCTTTCTTCTCCGCTCTCTTTCTTTCTCTCTCTCTCTCTCCCCTTTCTATCTTCATTCTCATCTCATTTTCCCTTTCATTTTCCATCTGCCTTTCCATCCCTCCCTCCTTCCCTCCCTCCCTCCTTCCCTCGCTCCCTCCCAGTCTCCCGTCACGTCCTCATGTTCTGCGCTCAAGTTTTCTTCGGCTTTACTCACGCCTTAAAGCTACGTGTATTCTCGACTCGTCTTTTGCCTTGCCCCGATTCCTGAAATTTTAGGTATTTCAAATTCATGCAGTTCTGTGACTCTACAATGCCTTGATTGTTTTCTGTCGTGAAAATTAATTATGAATCGTGTTAACCGAAGTTCATCGCATTGGCACCATGTCTTTTCTATATTAAGACACGTCGCGAAAAGTGTATGGCAGTGAATTCCTTCCTGGTGTTACTGGGTGAGTTTATGTAGTGGAAATTCTGCTCCCTGCCTGTGCTCAAGATGTCCACGTTTTCGCATCGTTTCATCAGAAACACCATTGCAAGTCGCATTATCTCCCAGATCCTGATTCATTAAGCCTCATTCTTTCTGTAAGTGGGCGAATATGCCCATCTACCGATGTGTGGATGAGTAAATCAGAATCTAGGGATATCTAGGTCTAGGTCTGTGCGAAAACGTGCACTTTATGACCATTATTAGATGCAAATGAAACGTTATGACAACGTTTTGGAGGCAGGACACCTGTCTTCCCCCGAGAAAACAGGTGTGTCCAAACGCTTGAATTAATGGAAGACTTGCACGGCACGAAGCAGCGCAGACCAGGCGCGTGCCTGCTGGGGTATGCCGTCCCGTCAGGGTGGCGTGCGATGCGGCACAGCCTACACACTCAGGTGTTTCTCACCGTGGGCGGGCCGACGCCCGCCAGCGGCGGTGACTGGACGGAGCTCCGTGCCGCACGTGTGGGCACATCGTCCCTGCTGAGGTTTCTGCTGAAGCCCCTAATCCCCGGGGGGCTCGGAGGTACTCGGAGCTGGTGCGACGTACCGTAATTAATCACGGACGGGCTGCCGCGCTTCCCACGGCGCTCCCATGTTGTTTCCACGTTATTCTTACGCGGAATTATACGGGGTCGCTCCGGTTAGGTAGCAAGCGACCGCCAGGCCTGCGAGCAGTGCTTAGGGAGTACCAGATGGAGTTATGTAGACTTGCCCACTGTAACATATCGCGCATCGATTTATCAGCTAATTATGTGCTGGGACGAGAGGCCACAGGCTCCTGCCGCTAACGGAAACCTCGAAATTATGAATACTGCCGTCAGTTCTGTTCAGGGGTGTAGTTTCCTGTTCAGCTAGGGGTTCCATCCCTCACCCCCAAGTTTGACGAGAAGGTGGGCCAATTTCAGCGAGAAATCCGTTTGTTTTTATTATGGGAGGGGGCGTTATGTCCCTTCCCCCGGCTCACTTTGCGAAACTACGAAAGTCGGTTCCGTTCAATTTCTGGTATGTCAAATGCGTTGCGAAACAGTGATATGTGATCTGCGGAGTCATGATTGGATGCGAAGGTAAACTTCGTGTTGTGAAAAGCTTATTTCCCTCATATCCTTGTTCGTCTTATGTCGATCAGCAGTGAAAACGAGTTAAGCAACCCATGCACCCCTGTAGAGTGTCGGTTTGTAGACTGATGGCATCTGCCTCGCAATGACCATGATATTGGCGTACCTTTCTGTAGATTTGGCTGATTTCTGGGGACGTTTCCATTTGGTATGGATGTCCAACCAGGAGGTGGAACGTCATCGAAGTTGAGCGGTTTTGCGCGTCCATACATGACCTCCGGCACGGCCATTGTGATACGAGTTGAATCATCCAGGGAGACACTCCAGGTAATGGACGGAGACGCAAGAATTAATGCATTTCATCGTGGAGTGGGACACTCAAAGCGGTGGCTATAACGACCCGGCGGAGACAAACCACGTGAGTGGCAGAGATCCGTTACAACAAAAGGAGTCGCCTAGTACGGGGACACAGAGTAGATAAGAATGGGACTTAACGGGGATAGTTGTTCTGATTTTGCCACTAACGGGTCTCGAACCATGCATGAAGCAAGCCGCACTGATGCGACATCGGCCACGTAGATCCGGGCGAACCGTAATACGCGCCGGCCTGTGAAATTTACCCCGGTCGCACACACGCCATCTATCCTCCATAACTCCGCGAAAGTCCGCCCGTGCTATAAATATCACGTTAGAGGCCTGCGTCGCTCACGTCTCGGCAAGGACTTTGTGGCGCACCTCCTGGCCATATTTTTACCGTTAGCCCTTCCTTATTGCTTGGTCCCTTTTGGCGAAGGTATGGCCGGTGTCGGCGCGTTTCCGCCGCGGGCTCCTCCGATTCCGGGGATCCGCGGCGGCCATGTATCAATATAATGGGACAAGTGGAAGTGTGTCCGTGCCGCTGGCCTGAGTTATGGCCTCTGACGCCGTGTAAATGGCCGTTTGAGAGACAATGCGCCCTGATCAGGCAGAGCCGCGGACAGTAGTAACGGATGGCGGCGACAGACCGGGCGTACGCCGACAACAGCGCCAGACGGGGTGCTGGCACGCTCTGAGGCGAGCATGTGGTCGGCTGGTGACTAATGGGTGACAGACGGACGCGCTGGGCGCCGAACAGCATCGGACAGCGGTGCAGCAGCACAGCGCAGTTGTGGCAAACTGGGACGCTGTGGAGCAGAGGTAACACAGAATCATCAGGACACGGCGTAGTTGTGGTGGGCGGTGACGCTCTTGGGCACAGGTGACGTAGAAGCCCTACGCCACGGCGCATTCGTGGCAGACGGGGACGCCCTGAGTCAGAGGTGACGAAGAAGCCCCAAGACCCGGCACGGTTGTGCCAGGCGGGGACGCTCTGGGTCAGAGGTGACGTAGAAGCCCCAACACACGGCACAGCTGTGACAGGCGGGGAAGCTTTGGGTCAGAGGCGACGTAGAAGTCCTACGCCACGGCGGAGTTGTGGCAGGCGGGGACGCTTGGGGGCAAAGATGGCGTAGAAGCACCAGAACGCGGAACAGTTGTGGCGTACGGAGACGGTGAGATGATGACGAAGATAGCGGCGCATGCCGTGCAGACCCTGCTCGTCAGCTGAACATGGCCAACCCGCTTTTCGAGAGCACGTGCGGGGCAACGGCACCGTTCAGAGTCCTCTTGTGAGGGATGATGCAGGATCGCACCCGGGCTAGCTCCAGCAGACGGCGGTGAGGACGCACCGTTCTCTGGCCTCAGCACGGGCGCTGTGTCCGCCTGTCGGAGAAAGACGGTAACAACTGTCCTCTCTTTCTCTGCTGCAGGTCGCGAGCAGCCGCCGCCCGGGCAGGAGCCGCCGCCATCCCCGGAGCAACCAGGTAACGAACCGGCGACCGCAACAGGTGCCGCCGTCACGTGCATCGGCGCCATTGGTCGCTGGGAAGGGGAGGGAGCTGGTGCTAGCAAGGCGCACGAGTTTTGCGATGCCTGAGGCCTGTAAAATGTTTGAACGCTCGTTTCGGAATCCGTCTCAGGTCGTAAATTTTGATGGCCGTCGTTCACCGGTGTACGCGGCTCCTGTCCGCTGCCCGGAGTCGAAGACGTGTGAATGATGGCCGTGATTCCGCGAGTGTTCGTGGGGCCGAGCTGCCGGGGTGAAAGGTCAGCACTACGTGGATGTATCGTCTTCCTGTTACTGAGGCACGGCTCGGATTCCGGCCGGTCGCGGCGAAGTGCTGCCATTACTTGTCGAATCGCCTGGTGATTATCCCTGAGCGTTTTATTGCGCTCTGCGTATGAGATGCCTTCCCACAGCGGGGCGTCCAAAATAGCATTCGCGCATGCGTTAGTGTCCTGACTCCGGTGAGTTTTGAGTTTTGGTCATCGAACTTGTCAATCAGGAAGCGTTTCCCCTGCCGCGCGTTGTGCCCAGCTGCTCTGGCCACTTGACGGGCGCTGTCAAAGGGCGACGTGGCGCCGCCGCTCGCCGTGAAGCGCTGTCGTGACGCGAGCGTCGGCGACCGGCCGGCGGCGCCGCGACGAGGCCCCGAACAAATGACGCGTGCCTGGACTGCCGGGCGCCGGGCGTTTTCAGCGCAGATTACGGCCGTCCGGCCGCGCCATAAATACTGGCCCGTGCCAGCTATCAGGCATTCGGGTCCGGCGACCGGCCGAAGCCGGCATTAGAGGGCGGCCGTAATTTTTGCCGACCGCCGGCCGATGATGGATTGGCGGCGGCCGGCGGCCGGGCCAGACAGCGCGGCTGTTCTAGTCGCCTCTCCAGCGCGGCCATCGTGTCGCTTCGGCGGTGGCGCGTCCACTCGCGCCGGCGCCGGGCCTCCGCTCGGCGTCGCCGGGCTCCCGCTCGGCGTCGCCGGGCCCCCGTTCGGCGTCGCCGGGCCCCCGTCCGCCGGCGCTGGGCCCCCGCTCGGCGTCGCCGGGCCCCCGCTCGGCGTCGCCGGGCCCCCGTTCGGCGTCGCCGGGCCCCCGTCCGCCGGCGCTGGGCCCCCCGCTCGCCGGCGTCCGGTGACGACCGCCACTTGGAGGCAGGTGGCTTGCGCCCGATTAGTTCGGGCACCATCGGCTCAACTCGGCGGTGATGCTGCGTCCGTGCCCGGTGTTCCCAGAAAGTCCGAAGTTTCGGGTGATAGCTTGTCAGGAACGACACGTGTCCGTGGAAAGGCTTGGGCATCTGCTAATGGTGTTGGAAGACTAATACCGCAGCTCCTTGGAGATGTTATTATCAGGCTGTGGTGGGCCGCTTTCCCTGGTAAGAGCGAGCGCTGACTCCAGTGACTGCCACGTACCAGGGCTTCAGATTTCCAAAAAGACTGGTCAAATGTGTTTCATTGAACGCCCGTATGCGTATTGCACCGAAAGCGTTCAGCCATGCCAGCAAAGCAGTAATTTGTCTCATCGCTGCGCCTCTAGTTTTCTGAGGCTGTGGTGCGCCACTTCTGGTCATGCCGGGATCACGGGCAGTGGCTCTGCGTGCGGCCCGAGTCCTCTCCACCGCACTGCCGTCGCGCCACCGTGACCGGTCCGAACGCGCCGTCCCGGCCGTTCCGAAGTGCTCACACTCCCTGTCAGGCTCAGTTTGAGCGACCCTGGCTCCCGCGCGGCGACGCACGCCGCTTCCGCCAATTCCACTGCCCAGGGAAGTTAGCGAAATGAGCGATTTATCTAGATTGGGCCTGACCGGGCGTGTGAGGCCGCATGATAATCAGATTGTTCGACCGGTAGTAGCCGGACGAAGATGGGTCTGCCCGTCTGGACAGCGGCCTCCTCGGTTACCATGGCAACTTAAGTCGACTGCGAGAGCTGCATGCCCCGAAGAGCGGATCAATCCGCGCGGTCATGTATTGAAGGGGTTGGATTTTCATTGCTGAATTCACATCTTCGGGTAACTGGCTAGAAATTTGTTGGAAAGAAGAAGAAGTAAGAAGTAAGTCAACAGATTACCAATGCTTTCGTACTCGTGTCGCATCGGAGCAGTTACGGCAACAGCGTGTTTATTGGTCCTTTGATGACAGCTTTTGGACTTCCAGATGAAGACGAGAACGACGACGACGAGGAGGGGGAAGAAACCATTGCTGAAGACCGCGAGCAAGAATTCGACTTCAAGGAGTTCATCAAAAGGTACGACTGTCGCCAATGATTGACCTTATCGGAAGATCCGCCAAGTCTGCCACTAATGAGTAAGCGAGCCGTGCCTCGTAAGAGCTGTGACAGCCGATCTCGATAACAGAGAAAGACTGCACAGGTTGACGAGAATGAGTGGCTCAGCATATACGACATGGTCAGAAGTAAGTACAAACGTACTAGGTGACTTATGTCAGGGGTGATGAGATGACCCGGAATCAAGTGTCGGTAATTTGCAACGCCCTGACCGTAGGCTGACCGCCGAGCCGCTCGGTTCAAGGTCACGTCAGGCCCCAGAACCAGCTTTCGGTCCGTCTAGTCTGCTGCCACGTCACAACAGTCAGCATGTGACGGACATCACATGAATTGTGCCTGATCAAACTATGCGGAGGCTTTTGATTGGTTTCAACCCTCAGGGCGATCACAAAACGGGGGCGTTTAGGGGAATTGGGCTGGGGACGTCGGCGCGCAATACTGCTGGGCAAGGGGGATGTACCCGCGCGACCTGTCTCCAGTGACTGCGAACAGCAGGCTAGCTCTGTGTGTACCGGCAGGTCGTCAGCCTCGTTGTCGTCGGCCTCGTGCTGGTCAGCCTGTCCGTGATGATAGCCAGTCGGTCGTCAGCCGGTCTGCCTCGGCAGTCAGTCTGCCATTCTGTCTGGGTGGTTCTGATCTGTCCCTCAGCAGTCTTTCTGCATCGGCAGTCAGTCTGCCAGTCTGTCTGGGCAATTCTGGCCTGCCCCTCAGCAGTCCGTCGGCCGGTCGGGATGGCTCCTGTCGGTGGTCTCTGTTTATGTTGACTCTGCACGGTCCATTGATGTGTGTGTGGGTGAGCCCGGTCATCATTAGCCGTCGTCACACAGAAGCACAGCGGTCGGCCGCTGTGCTGTTACCGCTACTGCCACCGCTTCTAGTCACTTATTCTGCTGTTGACAGACGACTTCGTTGTCCCGCCTTGTCTGGGGATGGGCCCGAGCTGTTGAAGTATTCGTGTGTGTCATCGTGTGGCCAGTCTGTCACCCGGTCTGTCCATGGACGGGCTCGGTATGATCACTCGTATATGCATCGACGCTGTCGTCGGTCTCAGCCGACGGTGATCTGTGTCCGTTGGCAGTCTGTTTCCCTTCTGCCTCCAACAGTCTGGCAGTCTGTTTCCTTTCTGCGAGTGTGTCTGCGCAGACCGCGCCGGGATTGGCCCCGACCCGTCAGTTTCACGCACCATTCGCCCGCCGGCGCGGCCGCCCGCCCGCTCTATATTCATACTGCGCTGAATTAGGATCGCTCTGGCTCACAGAGTCCGTCCGGGCGCCGGAAATGTCACCGTGTCGTCAGGCGGCGACCCGACAAAGGCGGGCCGGGGGAGGCGCCGCCTGCGCTCCCGAGGGAAGATGGGCAGGGGCAGGGGCCGCCCGGACTCCCGAGGGAGGGGCGGACCGGGGCAGGAGTCGCTCGCGTTCCAGAGAGAAGATGAACCGGGCAGGGGCCGCCCAGACTCCTGATCGAGGGGCGGACCGGGGCAGTAGTCGCTCATGTACCAGAGAGAAGATAGACCGGACAGGGCCGCCCGGACTCCCGAGGGAGGGGCGAACTGGGGCAGGGGCCATCTGGACTTTGGGATGGAGGTGGACCGAGGCCGGTGCGTTTAGGACCACTGAGGGAGAGACGCGTCGTGGAGGGGGCGGACCCCAGGTGGAGGGACGGACCCCAAGTGAAGACAGATCGAGGGGTGCGGACCCATGGGCGAGAGGTGAACCGCGGGGTACCAGACTCCTGGGGAAGGCAGACGGAGAAGGGTCCCTGACCCTGACAGGCTCTGACAGAGTGGGTAGGGGAATTTAGCCAAAAGGACGGCGCCGGGCACTTGACAGAGGTGAACTGGGAGGGAATCAATATGAATGATCATGTCTGATCAGCGCTGCCAACTCACCGTGTTTCGCTCATTGTTATATCTACGTAATTTGCTCAGCAAGTGTGGATCTGTCTCATGCACTGCGGTGAAGGAGGATAACTAGAATGCCTCAGGTAGGGGGCTTGGCGATGGAAGGAGAGATCGCTTCTGGTTTGAAAGGCTAGGTCGCTAAGTTAGGAGCTGTGATCAACGAACGATACATGTGGCATACTAAAGTGGATTGGTGCGGTGACCCTCACTTAAATCGCTTCAAGCGTCGGTAATTTATACATGGGCGTCATGGGTGTTCATTCCTTCGAATCATTTTCATAAACGAGGAGCCGTAAAGCGGCGCCGGCCGGATAACGTGATTGATGAGGACCTGTGCAACTGATAGCTCTATCTGGAAAATATGTGTCTAGCATCGAAGCGAACCTCGCGCATCTGGAAAGGATCCTCCCGGTGATGGAGTAACCAGCGAGAGACCGCTCAGCGCGGGAGCCTACTCAGCGATTGCAGAGGACTGACAGTAGGCTATGATAAAGCTCCGGCAGCAGTACAGGGCGACCAATTAGAGAAGCCATAAATCAGTCATCGTGATGAACGGAGGCATCCTTAAAGTAGGTGCGTGAGATGCATGGTGTCGGCAGGCCTAGGGTTTCATTCATCACCTGTGATTCACATCGCGTCCAGCAGCGGTTCACATCACTTGCTCACCGCCAACTCGACGGCGCCGTGTCAAACCGCAGACGCAGTGAGTTCGTGGCACTACATCTCGTGGGATTGGCCGTCGTGTAGATCGGCCAATTTCCAGAAAAAGGAATGCAATTTTAGCACGATAGACGCGGTTATTAGGTTGAAGGGAACGATAAACCACCGTTGTCACTTATTGGTTTGTGGGCTGGATGAAATTATCTTGTTTCTGAGGCGTGGTTGGATTTATATTATTTATTACTTATTAGATATTCGATATAGGTGTTTCGATTCCCCACTGTGCCCACCCTTCCTGCCAGCGTGAGAAGCGGGCGATGGGATATAGCCTCAGCAGCCAAGTTCGTCGTAAAGCCCCGATGATGTCAATTGTGGCGTGCTTTGGCTCGTTCGGGTGGCGGGGCAGTGTCCGCACGCGTAAAGACTGGTGGCCACCTGCTCGTGGAAGCCCCATGTGGCAGAGGATGGCAGTGTTTCGAAGAGTGCGGCGGTTTGAGTCGAATTGCCCAAGTTGAATATTTTATCATAGCTGAATGTATTGCACCATTGGAGATTTCCTGATTTTGTTTTTTCTTGAACAATTGATTGGGTCTTAAACTGTTGGCTAGTTTTTAGAGCCCTGACAAATAACCTATCCCAGAAATATCACCGCTGTTACGCATTATCTTGCGTCGTGACGTGACAGGCCAAATGCTGACGTAACTAACGTGCCATTAGCGGGAATTGTTCTCACATTGGACCGGTGCTGACTAAATCTGCTGGCGCAAAATGATCATAGCGCAAAGAGAAATGTGGTAGCCCCAAAATGTCCTCATGAATTAGGTTCTGTTTATATTAAACCTAAAAGCGATCTTCGTGTAGGCCCGCTTCCTTTCAAATAAGACTCACGCTGCTGACGGCCTGGCCCATAATAATATTACGTTTTAATCGTAATCCTGGTCCCCGGGTGGAAGGAAATGGAATATTTGAATTGCTCCCGGCCTATCCCACTGCTCCATTCAGACCAGGCTTAGCATGCCGCTCGTCGAAGGCTCCGCTCTGCTTGTTCCCTCCGCCCAGCTGAACTCAGAGCTGGCTGCTGAGCGCAGCGCCCACTTCACACCGTGGACGAACGGCGGTCTGCGACACACGGCACCTTTTCCGGCGATTCACCTCTGCTTGCCCCGCCGGCACGCCCGCGTCGTTAAGCCGGCTGCAGCGGGCGCCGCTCGTTAGGGTCCGGTGCTCCGGTCCGGGTCACAGGGCGCCGTGTTACCTTCCGCCCGCTGCGCACTGTCAACGACACTCACTCTCAGCGATCATTTGGCAGCACGGCTGTGAATGTGGGCCAGGTCGAGCACTGGCTGTCGGGCTGAAGGCGGATGTTGGTGCGATGCGGAACCTGGGAAAAGCCTCTGAAATAATTTATGAACGACACACATGTAACGAAGCTTGCTCAGACTCCGCACGGAATGAGTGGACGAAGCGGATGAAAGCAGTCACCATGATGAGACCGCATCGAGACGCTGGGTTTTATTTCCGACAACTGACTGCTGTTTGGCACCGCTTAGTTAAGTTTTGATAGGAATGAATGCGTCTTAAAATTCTATGATTTTGAACCTGTCTGACAAATTTCACTATTTTGAGATTCTCTGCCAATTCATTTTTAGACGTCCTTAAATGTAGGATTGCTTTATTTATTTGTATGCCCTCATGCCATCTTTCGTTCCTTTCTCGCTAGGAAATGAGAACATTGCCAAATATTTTAATCCATTGGGTATCAACGCCACACTCAACGGGTACGAGGAGGTTTTTTACGATCCCAAGTTGATTCCCATTGTCTGAAAGTCCCTCACAACCCCCAGTTTTATATCGTACGTGCCTCTACTGATAGTGCGAAATGTGTGGATATATAGCGCTGCAGTGCGTAGTGACATCTCGGGTGCAGTGTGCAGTGACACCTCGGGAGCAGTGTGTGGTGACATCTCGGGTGCAGTGTGTGGTGACATCTCGGGTGCAGTGTGCAGTGACATCTCCGGAGCAGTGTGTGGTGACATCTCGGGTGCAGTGTGTGGTGACATCTCGGGTGCAGTGTGCAGTGACATCTCCGGAGCAATGTGTGGTGACATCTCGGGTGCAGTGTGTGGTGACATCTCGGGTGCAGTGTGCAGTAACATCCCGGGAGCAGTGTGTGGTGACATCTCGGATGCAGCGTGCAGTGACATCCCGGGGGCAGTGTGTGGTGACATCTCGGGTGCAGTGTGTGGTGACATCCCGAGAGCAGTGTGTGGTGACGTCTCGGGAGCAGTGTGTGGTGGCATTCTGGGTGCAGCGTGTGGTGGCATCTCGGGTGCAGTGTGCAGTGACACCCGGGGAGCAGTGTGTGGTGACATCTCGGGTGCAGTGTGTGGTGACATCT